CCCTTTTCTGCATCATAAATCAACCAAGGATACTGACTTCTCCATTCTTCACGAAACTTCCTAACTGTTGATGCTCCTTCGAACCTTCCCTGTGCAGAACGGGAATCGGTGGCAATGTCAAGTTCGAGCTCGCTTCCTTTCTTCTTGCCCTCTTCATTCCCTCCTTCGCTTTCATGCTGTGACGTAGATCCTCGGGATTTTCGAGTCACGAAGCGATCCATCGGAAACTTGAACTTGTTCAAAATGGTGCACTGAAATCATTTCTCCAGGGAGAATGATTAAATAAGAACGGGTAAGACACGACGCGTGAGGGAAGGAAGGAGAGAGCGCTGACTTCTCTCCCCTCTCCTGGATGAAACGCATGCGCCTCAGGAGAATCACGTGCAGCAACCTGTCCGATACAGGCTATCCCCCCCCCCCCCCCCCTCCCCCCCCCTCCCCTCCCCTCCCCCCCGCCGCGGCGAGACGCAAATCGGACTCGCTTCGCTTCTGGGAGGATGGGACTTCGCGCTTGGGAGGCTGGGGCTTCACCCCCTTTGGAGGATGGGGCTTCGCACTCGGGAGGCTGGGGCTCTGGTTTCTCACTGGGTGGGTGAGGTGACCTTTGAGAGGGAGGTGACCTTTGAAGTGACCTTTCTCGCCTGTTCGGGCGAGGATGCGATTAGACCGATGAAAAAAGAGTTTATTAATTAACAATTAATTAGCGACGCGTTCGTCCCTTCTCGATCCTGGATGGCCTCGTCAGCATGCAAATCAGCTGCAGTTGTCCTTGACAGCGACTCGATTGCGTTCGGCGGAACGGGCAATTTCGGGGAAGGGGGAACTTTCGTTTGAAAGGAGGCGAAAAGTTTTCCTTTCCCCTTTCGGCTCTGTTGGAAGATTTTTTTTGCATTCTTCCGCGAGGAGTCTTCCTTGGCTCCTTGGAGATCGGGAAGCTGGGACGCGGAGACGAGAGAGATCATCCAGATCATCCGAACCGGATGATCTGGATGATCATCCACGGCATTCTCAGCGTCGGGATTTTCGTCGTCGACCATGCGGTCGCCCGTTTTCGTCCCCGGACGAAACTCGACGGTCTCGGGACCGTGGTTCCATACCCCGGCCGAGATTCCGCGGCGACGCACGATCCCCTCAGATTCCCTCAGATTCTCCCGAGACGACTGTCCCTGCGCACAATGCCAGCTGAAACCCCACCGTCACACGCACGACGACACGAGACCGAAGGAGAATGGAGGAGAGAGAGAGAGAGAGAGGGAGAGAAGAGGGGGGGGGGGGGGGGGGGGGGGGGGNGGGGGGGGGGGGGGGGGGGGGGGGGGGGGGGGAAAGGACTGCGCATGCGCAATGCTGCCATGCGGGCTGGGTTCACCTGGTCCCTCAGCTGGCGACGGAGGCAGAAGTCTGAGGACCTCCGACGTCGACGCTGCTGATCTAGTGAGTCCCTGCTCTTTCATCCCTTCTTTCCATTGGGTCGAATCTTCTTCGTAATCGAATTCACTTGCGGGTTTGGATCGACTGTTCTGTACCGAGAAACTCGCATCGTGGTCCATCGGGAACTCGAGGGGATTCCCATCCTTTGAAATCGGCAGTACTTTAGTACTTTTTTACAACCTTTTTTGGACTCTGCAATTCCTTTTCCTCTTTTTCGACAGATGACCGGCCTTAATTGAAATTTGCGTGAACTAAATTGGATCGAAGAGAAATCGAACGAGCCTAATGGCACATTAAATCTGAAGGCGGGTGCCCTTTCTCTTAACTGCTCTTTTAGGGATTAATCTCATTTCGATGAGGTCTTTTTCTGGGACGCTGGAAGTTTCTTTCGATGTCTGGCACCAGCAATAGGGCCGAAAGTTGGCGAGATTGAGGAGTGAGAGGGTTATATAACCAGGCTGGGGTCAAAGGTTATATAACCAGGCTGGGGTCAAAGGTTATATAACCTAGCTGGGATCAAAGGGGTAATATAAGCAGGCGCAAGCTGGGGCTCATCCCCTTTGCAAATTAAAAGCTTCTGAGCTCTCATCCCTCCAGTATTGCTTTTTTTTTCCGACCCAGCCTTAATATGCAGAAGAGTTCTAATTAGGGAAAAAAAAAATTTAATTAATGAGGCAATTTTGTACGAGGCTCATCTTCTTTCGTTTCAACAAATATCAACGCTGCCTGCACCGAGAAAAAGTTCAGGCTTCTGACAAGGTGCCGCGAGAACCTCATTTTGCATCTGGTTCCGTCCACCGACGACCTAATATTTCGGGATGGATCCGGCATCCGGCATCCGGCGTCTTCCCGACGTCGGCGTTCATGTCGTCATGTTTCGAGGGGCACCTGAACGAGTTTGTTTCTTTCGGAGCTTCGGCGTCTCAGTCGGGACCGAGGAGAGGTCGGAAGGGATTCCGAAGGGATTGGCGAATCGCGTCGAAGGAAGTCAAGACGACGACTTCCCTCGAAGTCGTCGCTCTCGGTTATGAGTGCCTCGGCTTCGCGAAGAGGGCTGACAGAGGCTAATGAAAGGGTAATGGGCGTCCATCAGACAGGTGTCGTCGCAGATGATGATGGATGGGATGAGAGGTCCCTCCTCAGGGGGGGGGGGGGGGGGCC